AAACAACACTGCGCATCACCAAAAGAACACCACACCCACACTGAAGCATGATGGTGGTGGTGGTAGCATTATGCTTTGGGGCTGTTTTTCTTCAGCTGGGGCTTTAGTGAAGGTGGAGGGACTTATGCATAGTACCAAATATCAGTCAATTTTGGCACTAAACCTTCAGGCCTCGGCTAAAAATCTGAAGAGGAATTTCACCTTTCAGCATGATAATGGCCCAAAGCACATCTCCAAATCAACAAGTATGGCTTTTGGAATAGCTCAACCAAAGCCCGGACCTGAATCCAATTGAAAATCTGTGGGGTGACCTGAAGAGGGCTGTGCACAGGAGATCATAATCCTCATAATCTGACAGCAGTATTAGGTTTATGGTTGTGCATATTTATGCAACCACATTATTGTAAGCTTTTAATTTTTTCCAGTAATAAACGTTTGTTTTTGATTAAATTGCAGATTATAGGTCACATTAAGGCCTCATTCACACAAGAAAAAGCCAGCACGTACACCTCCGTGCACGGCTGTATCAGGCAGCTCCCGTGGAGGAAAGGTGCTGCGTGTGATTAGCATGCAGCCCCTGTCCTTCTCTATGGGAGTATGCGGCCATATGCCACCCTATGCTCACCCAAAGTGCACATCCGTACAAGTGCGGGTGTCCCAGCTCGGACGCAGACAGGATCTATCCTGTCAGTGTACGAGTACGGACACCCACACGGATGTGCAGGGCGGTGTACTTCCATAGAGAAGGACAGGGGCTGCATACTAATCACATGCAGCACCTGACCTTCCCAGGAGCTGCCCGATACAGCTGTGCACGCAGCACGGAGCAGTACGTGCCGGCTTTTTCTCATGTGAATGAGACCTAAAAAGGTGGAAAAAATGCTGAAGTGATTTATCTTGGTCAGATTTTTTTTATACATCTCAATATCATCATCATCTATATGCATTGTATACAGTATGTCACAAGGGTCCTCTGCCTTTAGCACTTTGATTTAATGAGCAGGAACAATCACGCAGGCAGTAAAGTCAGAACTCCTGATCTTCATGTGTTCTCCAAATTAGTCACTCAACAGTAATGAAACCAGAACATCAAGAAGACAGCCAGACAAGTAACATGGTCAGGGGGATGCAGCAATGGCGTTACCTGGGAGGTCCTAAAAGAAGACTGATGGACACCACCTACCTTACTTTAAACCCTGTGAGATAGGCCAAATTTGTATAAAAAGAAGAAGAAGAAGAGGAAGCTCTAAAATAGCCGCGGGACTTTCATATCTGGCATCAAATGATTCATTCACAAGATTTGATCTGATAACTGGGTGTACTAGAAAAGGAAAGCCACAAGAAAACCCCATGAAGGGAGCTTTTTCACTTTCACAGGACTCTGAAAGGTTCTGATCTCCTCAAGCCTCCAGAGATCCACCCTGAGGAGCATTCTTCTGCACCTCCAAGTTTAAAAGGGCAATCACACCATAGAAAACACATAATGGACACCCATACAGCTATTGGAAGAATCACAGAGCAGGGCTTTCCAATGGATAGTTACAT